GCATAGGCCGGGGGGGGGGGGGGGGGGGGGGGGGAATGATAGACCGACTTGGTGGGTATCTGGCATTTAGTCAAGGTCAAACCACCACAATGGCATATGAGCAAAACAGGTTATGAACTAAATCCATGCTGTCTCTTTGCTATGAAATACATCTATAGCTCAAGCTGTTTGAGCTTCACTCCAGCAAAACAGATGGAGGTGTAGACACCAAGCAGTGGACTGGGGGAGAAGGTGAATGCTTTCACCACATCTTGGGAATAAACACAGGGACAACTGCATAAGGAAACCTGCAGGGACGGTTTCATGCCTGAATTGCATCAGTTGTGTCTTACAAATGTTCAAGTATTTCAGAAACAGCCTTTTTATAAGGAACAATGTGATCACTGGCTGATGTATATGTTTCACTGATGATTGTGGATAAATTATATATATGTAAAACCATACCTTACCTTGTAAATCTGTACATGCAAATTCCTCTACAGGTAATCCCTGGGATATTACACATTAGTTCCAGCAGCATTATGATATACACATAAGCAAAGGAGTCTCTTGCACTCTGCTGAGCAGGGTAAGGAAGCTTCCCTTTCCTTCGGTTTAATGCATCCCTAATGGAGCTAGAGCCAGCCCTGGCAGCTAAGGGATGTGTTGCATCCCTGCTGAGGTGCCTTGCAAGAAAAAATGTGGGAAATTATATCACAGAAAATCCTTGAGCCCTTGTTTTTAGTACAGTGTTATAAAAGGGTTAAGAGAACAACAAGAAAAATAAAACCTCCTTTTTTTGTCCATTGTGTTGTTAGCCAAGGGAGGGGAGGAGTGCAGTGCAGTGTGGTGCTGGGCTGGACTCCTGTCTCAGGGGAATGTTACATGTTGATCCAGAAGGGGAGAGCTGTGGGCAGCATCAGGGAAATTTTCTTGCCCTTCTTTGTTGAAGTACCCTGGGTGTTCGGGGAAGTGCAATCTCCCAGAACAAGGTCATTCTTCATCAAAGTCTTATCAGCCCTCAGCCCCTCCTCTGGAGGGGGTTCTCAGCAGCATCAGTTAGAGCTGTATGTGGACATAGGTTTTGTGACAGGGAAGTCTATCAGGACTTGAACTTTCTGTGCTCCTGGCTCATTTTCTGAAATGGCATGAAACAAGACCCCAGGACCCTAGAGCAGAGGGATGAAAAAGCCCTCACAATTTGTTCATATGAGCTGTCAGGAGCGGGACTGCCAGTAAAGCAGAAGAAATCACTCTAAAGCAGTTACTGGGTAAGTGCAGAGGCACCCTCAGGCCAGCACTGTAGTCTGTGAAGTGAACAGGGAGGTGTGGAGTCCTGGTAAATTTTGAGGTCCAGACATTTCATGTGCCTCTAAAACTCAGCACTTGTTTATTTGTGCAAAGCAGTTTTGAGTCTACAGGACTTTTCAGCTGATGGTATCAACATGCATGCCTGACCGAGCCTTTGCAACCCTCTTGTGGTGACTAGAGAATAATCTTGATATAAACAGCCACCTCAAAGAGTAACTAACAACAACCACTCAGGAGGAACTCCTCATTCAGCATAGGTATGACCCCTGTAAGAGGTCCTTTCTTCTCCTGCAACAGTGAACCTTTCAACATGCTCAAAAGGTCAATAGATTAGCCCTAATTTTAGATCAAAACTGCACAGTGCCCAGAGAGGTGGTCCTCAGAAAAAACCCTGCAGTCTCACCCTCTTCTGCCCCAGCTGGAGACATCTGCTGCTTCCACATGTCTGAGCCACCACCTCTTTGCACTCTGCATTAAATATCTCAGTCTTCTCCCATATGATATATTGGAGTGTCCCTGAAAGTAAGTGCCAACGCAAGTGATGCTCTACGCGTACAGAATTACGAATGTTACATTGGACTGTAACAGCTGTTTCACTAAACAACTCCTCCTCAGCCAACACTGTGTACTGTGGTGGTAGTCTGGAACATAACTACTAGTTACTGAAAGCAACAGTTAAGCTCCTGTTTTTAGCAATAGCAGATCATTTTTCTTTTTAATATCAGAAAGCAGAAGTTACCTTGGGTGGTGAATGAGAGGAAAAGACCCGGCCCTGCACTGAATTCATCAGCATCTTGATAGCTCTCAGAGCAGAAGAGGGTTTGGCTTTGTCAGCTGTTGCACAGACTGGAGACAGTTGTTGGGTGAAAACTCAATCCTTAAAAGCCCTGTCTGTATTGCTTTTCCAAGAGATTGCAGGAAGGGTTCACTTTATTAGCTTTCCACCCCAAGTCTCCTGCAGTATCAAGGCATGCAGAGACAGCACTGTTTTGTTCAAGGGTGCATTTTACTTTACCTCCATGACTTTTGACTTACTTTTAAAGCAAATCTTGGGATTGTCCCCATCTGCAGCATTTTGCCTCATGTCACAGACGAGACTCAGCACATCCAAACTGGATTGTTTTTGGATGACAGCAAGCCAGCAGATGAGCTCCAGGAGTGCACCTAATGCACCTCAGTCACTCTCAAGTGTACAGTCCTTGAGAGTAAAGAAAAGGTTGTCCAAAGCAACCTCCTTCTTTCCCAGGAGCTGTGTACAGTGAGGTCATGGGGACCTTGGCAGGGAGTATTTTTCCCCATAGACCTGCCCCCATTTGTCCATGCTGAAGGAGCCAGGCAGGGCCTGAGCTAACTGGAGGGGAACTGGGCCAGCATCTGTGATCCCAGGGAGAGGCGAACACAAGTGGGGTTCTCAGCTGTGCCAGCCCATGGATAGCTTTGCCTCCCAACGCTCTCTGTCAAACTGAGCTACCAGTTTGTAAAACAGGTCTAATGGTAATGTACTCACACATGCAAATATACACTAGTAAGGAACACTGTGCATTTTAAGTGAAGGGGATTAAAAGCCTGATCAGAATATCCTCCATGTCAGAAGAAAGCACTTCCCACAATAAATGTTAGATTCCTTGATCTTTAATACTGGGCAACTGCAGAGCAATTATGGTGGTGTCTTTGGTTATCAAAGACAGACTTGTGAGGAGTCACACAGCAGTAGCCTCCAAAGGGGAGGTGAACATTTGTTTTTCATTCTTTCTGCAGAAGGAGGTTGCTGTCGTTTTGCTTTGAACACATAAGATACAGAGGCAAAGTAAGCAAGAGGTTATTTTCCATTCTGATTTTTTTCTAGCTCATTTGAATAAATACCCCTGTAAATACATAAGAGTATTGCATCGCCTGTCTCTAGATCAGGATTTGATGGCCTCTAGTGGAAAGTGTATTTAGCCAAGCCTGAATAGCCACCAAAATCAGGTTCCCAGCCTCCCAGATGCCAGAGACCGTGAGATCAGCAGTGGGAGCTCAGCTGCAAGATGCTGAATTCAGAGAGAGCCAAAAAGGGCTTCGGCTGGAAGCTGGCATATTTATAAGAGTAAAAGTTAAAGCGTCCTGATCTTTAGAGGGATTTTCTGTGCACGGGGGGTGGTCCCTGCAGAGCCACAATTTGTTCCCTGGAGAACAGAGGAGAGAGAGCAAATGGGGGCTGTGAGGTTAGCACAGAGAAAGGCCACTGTGTGCCATCATCTCTGAGTGGAGGGAAACAATTCTGTAGACAGGGCTCTTATTCTAGGAACAAGAAGACTTTGATTAGGATTGTGTGAAAGGTTTTTCTTCTGAACACAGGCTTGAGTTTTGTAGCCATGTGGAGCCTCTTATTTTAGGGCTCTGTGCAAGGTTTAACCCTTGTCGGGATGAGAGAGCACGTGGCCGTTGCCTCTCCCCCACCCGCGCCGGTCGGGCTGGAAGTTAGACACAGACCCCGGCTAAAATAACAAGAAATTTAATACAACAGAGTGATAGAACAATCTGAATAACAACAGTATCAAATGTAACAACAATAAACAGCAGTAACGGTGAACAAGACAAAAGATATACAGAGAAATATCGCTAAAGGATCAAGGAGCAAACCCGCCGCGTGTGTGTCAAAAACCAACACCAGAAGCGAAAGTAAAAAGGCTCCGCCCCTGGACCTGACGTCAGCATGGTATGAATAACCCCGCTGGAGATCCCTTCCCCCTCTCTCTCTGCTGGGGAAAACTTTATCCTGGCTGAACCAGGACAGGCTCGCTCTCTGTTTTTTCTTTCTTGGCTCCATTTAACCTCTCAAACTTTTCTCATTCCATTTCCCTCCCTTGCTATCTAAAGGAGGAGTGGAAGAGATTGTTTTCTTGCTTATAGTATCCCAGGGACACTGCCATCATCATGTGAAAGCCTCTGGTCACTGAGAGGGTCCTGAATTTGCGTGCATGTTTGTGACAGAGCAAGCAGGGAGCCTTGCTCCCCTGACAGGGTGGCAGTTTCTGCCGACGCTGAGCTCTGGGCAAACATGAGCCAAGCTACAAAGGCCTGCCCATTTCAGCAGCATTCTGCTCGCTCTCTCCTTCCTACTACATCTCTCTCTCCTGCTCAATGGAGTTAATTTTCCTCAACATTGCTTCCAGATTGCTGCTTGGAAAAACCCTAGGGCAATTAGCTCACTCTTCCATGCAACTATGGAGTAGATCAGTCAGGTTTAGTTGTATGCGAGACCCTGTAAGCCCATTTACTATTCCTAAATGATTCACACACTGGAAGATGTTGGAAATCCCCTGGCACTGTTGGCTATCTTTGCAGAACAAAACAACTTGGACGAAGAGAGTTACAGACCATCCCTCCATATTATGTATTTGGAGGAGGAGTGAGAAAGGGTCTTGACTGCTAGATAGGAAACTGGAAAGGATGGCATCTGGTCTGCCAAAGTTACTCTCATGGCCTTGTCATAATTTTACCCAGGAAAGAAGAGGGTTATGCGGGGTTAAGGAGTGAAGGGATTCCCAAACAGTCTCTCAATGGCACATGCCAAGTCATATCTCTAAATAAATTGGTGGGTAATGTCCCTGTCTGAATATGGAGAACATGCATACTCAGGGCATGCATATATTTACACCCATGGTCCTGAGAGTAATAACTTTAATCAGACAGAGAGACCCTGTAAAAAACAGAGTGCTTTCGAGTCTGTAAAAAACTAGCTTGTATGGCTCCAGCTTTGAAGGAAGGCAAATGCCTGTAGGGCCATTTTGTCATCCTCATGTTCGGCTCCTATAGCTTACCTGGAGAACAGGAAAGACTTTGCTGTAGGCAAGAGGCTTCGTTCACTCAAAGAGCAGGGCGAGGAATACCTATCAGGAAGTGGAAAGGGAGACATGATAAAAGGGTCTGAGAAGTTGTCTCTTCCACCTTTTAACTGGTAGTAGAAGAGGCATAAATTTCCACTTCTAATGGGTCACCAGGGAGAAAGTGCCGTGCAAGCAAGAGCTGCACTCCTATGTTCAAATTTATGGGCAAAAAGGAAGCACACCATATATGTATATGTGTGTGTATATATATATATATATATATATATATATGTGAAGCCACCAATTGATAGTATAATGGACATCTTAACAGACTAACTCAAGAATCATTATTACATGATGCAATTATTAACAAAGAACAATAATGCAGGTAGTGTACAGAAAAAGTCACAATAATAGCAATAATACCACTAAAATTGTAACACAACTTAGGTCACTTCTCCACTGCTTTTCTGAGTCCTAAGGTCAGTGGTTTCATGTTGGTGGTGTTGGTGGTGGGATATTACAATGAATTGTCAGCATCTGGTGTCCTTCACAGAGAGGAATACAATGTTCATGGCATGGGTTTTTGCTTCCTCTCTTCTTCCTTTACTTTCTTTTTTTTTTTTTCCTCTCTTCCTCCTTCACTTAGGGTCACATATATATGTTTGCTAACACATATTTACACCTTTCTCTTTCTTCATTGGTCTGCAGCTCCAGGTTATGTGAATTTAGTATATACAGTGCCATTTACCACTAGATGCTATTTCCTTGCCCTCTTTTCTCCCCCTAAAACCAGTTCTGTCCAGCTCCAGGACTGCAGGTTGGTGCTTTTTGATCTGTTCGTTTTTGTGGTTTTTGTTTGTTTGTTTGTTTGGGTTTTTTTGTTTTTTTGTTTTTTTGGGTTTTTTTTAAATGGCCATTAGTGAGTTGGCTGGAGAACATGTTCCTGTTTGGCACCTCTGCTATGGAGCCAGGGACGCTCAGGAGAGGGTACAGCTGATGGTGGTAGTGGTTATAAATAGTGGGATTCTCAACAATTTTTGTTAAAACCTTGACTATTTGCAAGTAACCTGGAAAAAATTAATTACTGTGTTAATCAGAGCACAGTGAGGTATGTGAAGATCTGTAGGAAAAATCAGGAAAGCTGAAGACATAAAATAAAATGTCATAGCCTTTAGTAAAGAGCACAGTTCAGATCTCTGAGGATCTAGATAATTCTTACCTTTTGTATCTCTATGCCATTTCCTGGAGGAGGTGATAATCAAGGCTAACACTTGTACCAGTTGGGGCAGCAGTGCTTCTCTATGCTTAAATGCTTTTTCAGATGTAGTAATATTGGGGCTGGTATATATCCAAATTTCCCTTTTTTAAAATGACAAAGCAGAATTATAGGCTTAAAAAGAAAACAAGAAGAAAGGACTAAAATTATAATCAATGAACAATTCAAACTAGAAGAGATTATTTACTGCTAGGACAACACTTACCAAGAACTAGTAAAATAAATGAGAGAAAATACTGTTATTTTTTGTATTCTCAAGAACCATGCTTCTGCAGGGATGATTAAGGGTCAAGTTCTTCAGTAAACTGGAGGGCTAATTGCATGGTGTTGTGGCAAGTGCTATTGCTGGGAGTTTGGCTATGCTGCAATGCCAGAGAGCCACTAGCAGATGAAAAAGTTCAGGGGATGACTTGAAACCAACTTTGGCAGCAGTTGAGCTGAAGCAGTGTGAGGTCCAGCATTGCCTACATTAGTCTGTTGAGCTCCATATTGCTACAGCTAGTTTCTGCAACCAAATCAGTTAGGTTAGAGCTGAAACTAAATGGATAGCAGTAGATTATATGTTAACTATGCTTTTATGTCCCAACCCAATGGCTTGAAAAATTTCTAATGGAAAGTAATTAATGAATTGCAGAATCCCTTTTCTTACATGTCCTTTTCCTTTTACTTGAAAATTATTATTTCTGGATTTCCTTTTCAAGGAAATTACTGAGGTCCCAGTAGAGCAGGCAATAATTTACTGCAGAAGGGCAGGTTTCTTGTGGAAGGACCCGATCCGTTCAAGCTGCCTTGTGCCTGCAGTGGGCAGGAATACTTCACATTGCACATAAATCTCCCTCATGAATGTGGAGGAGGTGAGGATGAAAGAGGAGTGGCCTTCCTCTTCCATTTTTGTTACAATGAGGATTTTTAACAATCAAAAGACTGCTGATTTGGGACTGCTGAGCTCCAGTTCATCTGCTGCAAGGAATGCCTGCTTAGCTGGTGAATGGAAACATGGCAAGTAGAGACTTCATCAATTAACTAAATGTCCAGAGATGTGGATCACTGTGATGGACACAAGTCTCACAGAAAGCAGAGCTTTGCTACTGTGCTCCAGTTCTGTCCTTTAAGTTATCAGAAGGAAAATTAGAAACTGGAGTTTTCTGTTCTGGCTGCAAAATAGAGATAGTGAAGGTCTAATTCTTTTGCTTCCAGTCCTTGCAGGCAATAAAATCTGATCAGGTAGCACGGTGCTATTCAGTGAACCAGGATGGGAACAAAAGGAATTTATTGTCAGATGTGACCTCTAAGCACTAATAATCCTTTGGAAAGTTTTACTACAAGACCTCATTCTTCTTTTCCAAGTCCAGGTTGTCACATACCTCCTGGCCCTGTGTGAGAAGGTGGAAGTTCAGCCTAATTCCCAAGAACTCTGACAGAGAATACCCAGGAGATAGAAGGAAGTTATATAAAGCATAAACTGCATAAGATTTGTATGAGCAGTACAAGGTTGAAATGTATATTGGTTTTGGCTACAACGTAACTATTAAAAAAATATTTTTTTATTTTTAATGAGACCTGCAATGGAGACTAGAACAGGCTAAAATTTCTGTCTCTATGCTCTCATCTTTGGAAGGGGGAAAAAAGTAGTTTAGAGCTGCTAGCATAAAGTTCGTATTTGAAATGGGAGAATCTACATTTCCTATGCTGCTGAAAATCTCCCCGGAAAGAAAAAGAACAACACAAAAACCACCCAGCAGAGCAGTGAAATCAAAACTTCAGTGTCCCAGGAAATGAGGAATTGCTGTCACTCAAACATTATTAAAAACACCCATCTAAATCCCCAGAATTCTCGTCATCATTCAGCATTTCACTTGCAGCTAAGAAGAGATCAGAGATAAGACACTCATATATTGCTTCCCACCAGGCATTACGTATGAGTAAAAGCATCAGCTTCTCCTTGCTCTTCTGAGTGGTTTGCAGTCAGTAGGAGTTTGGCTTTAAGCACAGCCTGCCTTTGAAACAGTATCTTTTGCTGAAGAACTTTTCCTTTCATATATTTTTCTTTTAAATATAGTGGAAACTTCCCACTTTGAGGTAGATAACATTACACAAAGAACCTAAAGAAACAGTTACCACTGAGAAACTGAGAATGTTACCTATTATTTGATCAATGTTTCCTACTGCTGCCATCAAATTGGACTGTCAGGGATCCAGGAACTTTTAAGAGGTGTGTCAAGACCCCAGTCATTCTCTTAAATGGAGAGATAAACAGGGCCTCTGTCCAGGTACTTCATTTTTCATGGGACTGATTGTCACGTTCACATTGGATGGAAAAATGAGACCAACAGCTACTTTTTCTAATTGCTTCTATCTAAAATGTCTACCTAAATGCTAGGTAGGGGGTAAGAGGAACTTTCTTTTGAGGAATGCCGAGCAGCAGGCCGGTGCTTGGTGGGGGTATTTAAAATGGGATCTTGGCACTTCCCCCTGCAAGGAAGGCAGGTCTGGTACAGTGGAGGCAAAGCTGGTGGCCTCCTTGCTAGCCACAGGCGAAAGGCAGGGTGCCTTCCACCCGTGTCTGTGGCTTCCAGGGTCTGTCCAGACCCTGGAAGTAACTGCAGAGAGGTCAGGTACCTCTACGAACAGATGCTGAAGATCTCGAAAGACACTGCTGCCACCTGCTGTGCCATTTTGCTTTTAAATACACAAACCCAAGCCCTGAGTAACGCTACTGCCTAAAGCTCATGTTTTCCCATTGGATTTGCCTACTAGGGTTAGAAAAAAGATGAACTGCTCTGCAGGTTTTAACCTTATTTCATGGCGGGGATCCCGCACGCTGTACTACCCACCCAGAAGTATTTCATGAAGCATCACCTGGCATCCACATCACTAACCTCCACTGCTGGAGTTTGTCTGTGGTTTAGAGCACATGACAGAGAAGGTAAGGAAGGAGAGCTGCATTAGGGATCCTACACCCTATGGTCTTGCTCCCAAATAAAATTAAATGTTTAACTTCATGATATTTTGATTATTTTAAAATCCAGAGCTATTTAACATTTCTACTGTTCCATAAAAAATCTTTTCACTCCTTCTTAAAAGTGTTCAAGTTGTGTGTGCGAAGTTGAAATCCCACTTTCCAACCAACTCTCTGTAAAATTGCTTCTAATCTGAGAAGAGATTGAAAAAGTGGCATCTTTTTTTTTCTCAAGTGACCACTTTTCCATCATCTCTTGAGATCAGAGAGTTATCAAAGTACTTGAGGCTCCTCTGCCTGCCATATTTAAAGTGTGGCATGAGCAAAGAAAAACAAAGCTGATGATAGCTATTCAGCACTGCAGATGATTAAAATTGTTGTCTAGAGGACTCAACTGCATCTTTGAAAAAGTGAACACATGATGGAGTTAAAGAATATTTTGCAGGGACTTGTGCTGTGAAAAGTTCTCGAGTGGTTTGATCTTGGATTTAGAACAGAGGTATGCACCTTTTACTGCTGTCCGTTTGTAAAGAATGGAATACTTGCACAGTGTGAAGAACAGAGCAAATGTAAATGTAAAGAATGGAATATGTGCAGAGAATGGAGTATTTGGAGTACCTGGAGTACTTGCACACTTCATGGCAACTGCTAAACAGAAATTGATCTAAAATTTAATTGTAATTGATGTAATTGTGGCCTGGAGTGGAGGGTAATGACTGCCAGACTGCACAGAGTCTGAGGACTGCCTCAGAGTTTGGCGCTGTGAAGATTGCCAATCATTAGTACTGTAATTATGTTATTTTTATAATTCAAGCATGTAACAAAGGGTGATTACAATGTAAAAGAATAAACATTCTGCCAGTAACATGAACAATGCCTAAATAAATTATTGGTGACATGAAGCCATACACTCAAGAAAATGAACATATACAAGCCTTATGTCTTGGCACTGATGTGGTTGACAGGAATGGTAAAGTACAATTGGTTAGGTCAGTTTATCCAAAGCACATGAGAGGTTTGATTACACTGCAATGCTATGACATCCCTAGGAAGCACATACCAGGCACCTGGAACCCACTGCTTCAAACCTCCCGAGGAATAAGCACTGAAATACCTTCACAGAAGCTGTGTCCCACCACAGGTTCACATGGAATACAGACACCTATGATAGCTCCCTTCTCTTGCAAAATGACATGTGTGAGGAACAGTAGCAGACACAGAGAACTTTTCTTAACCACGAAGTAGCCTGCAACTGCTAGAAAACCTCGAGTCTTCCATCCAAATGCCTAGGCTTCAAGAATGAGGCCAAGTTCAGCATGTGCATCTACTGTTAGATGTCATATGCATCTACTGTTAGATGTGTAAAATACCAAAATGAGTAGCCCCTGACCTACACAACTTGCAGGATGAACAAGCAAAAAGAACAAAAGAAGAATGACTTAGATGTGGAAAGCTATTTAAGTACTCAATTTGAAACCAATCTCATCAGTGGCAAGGTGATAAGAAACAGTCATTGTGAGTCTGCCAAAGTAAATTGATTCAAGCTAACTGTTTTCTTTGGCAGCATCCCTGGGCTATGGGGCAGTTCACAAGCCAGTAGCGGGAAATGTAGTTTTAGAGACTGGTGAGGGATCAGATACCAGAAAGCTGCTGGGAACACAGCAGTGACTGCAAGTAGGTAGTGGCAGCTGCAAAAAACATAGAGATTTGAAGCACTGCTGATCAGACTTCAACCAGGCAACATGGAGAGCAAGAGCAGACTGAATGTGGCTGTTGGCAGCCACCCTCTCCAGTCAGCGATTCTGATTTTCTCCCGTCCAAAGTGCAGGACACTCCTAAGCAGCTGCATAGAGTGCTGTGACCCATTTGAAGCGCAGCATGTTAAGGAAGTTGATACCAAATGAATGTTTTAATGTTGAGAAAAATGTAAAGATTAAAATATGTCACCAGAGAGAGTTGATGAACACAGTCTTCAGATACATAATAGAGTGGCATAAAAAGAATGGTGATGAGTTGTTCTCCATGTAATTGGCTCGGTCCTTTTAGGTTAATTCAGTGTGTTTGAGGAATAACTAGAACAATAGGGAAATGCTACAGGAAGCAACTTAAGCTGTGGAATCTGCCATATGGTAAGCTTCTGAACAACAGAACAAACACCAGTTAAGAAAGGTCGAGATATACTTGATGTGCTTCATAAAAGGGGAAATTGAAGAAATGGCTTCTACAGTTTCCTTACAATTATTGTTTGATTCCAGTTAGCATGAAAAACACTTAAGCTTGCATGAAGTCACTACATATTTTAAAGTAAGAAAAATTAATTAAAACAAACCATGCAGATTTGCAGCTTAAATTTGGTAAAATAATACAAGTGTTAACATGGCTATTCCATGTTGTCAACATCACTAAAACCAGCTCAACAAATTTAACTGCTATTTTCATACTTTTTCTGAAGAATTGTAGAATCATAGAGTGGTTTGGGCTGGAAGGAACCTTACAGATCATCTAGTTCCAACCCCCCTGCCATGGGCAGGGACACCTTCCACTAGATCACGTTGCTCCAAGCCCCGTCCAACCTGGCCTTGAACACTGCCAGGGAGGGGGCAGCCACAGCTTCTCTGGGCAACCTGTTCCTGTGTCTCACCACCCTCATGGTAAAGAATTTCTTCCTTTTATCTAACCTAAATCTACCCTCTTTCAGTTTAAAACCATTACCCCTTGTCCTATCACTACACTCCCTGATGAAGAGTCCTTCCTCATCTTTCCAGTAGGCCCCTTTAAGTACTAGAAGGCTGATGCAAGGTCTCAAGGTCTCCCTGGAGCCTTCTCCTCTCTGGGCTGAACAACCCCATCTCTCAGTCTGTCCTCACAGGAGAGGTGCTTCAGCCCCCTCAGCATCTTCGTGGCCTCCTCTGGACCTGCTCGATCAGGTCCATGTCCTTCTTATGTTAGGGGCCCCAGAACTGGAAACAGCACTGCAGGTGGGGTCTCATGAGAGTGGAGGGGGAGAATCAGCTCCCTTGACCTCCTGGTCACATGTCTCTTGATGCACACCAGGGCACAGTTGGCTTTCTGGGCTGTGAGTGCACATTGCTGGCTCATGATGAGCTTCTTGTCAACCAACACCAATTCCTTCTCTGCAGGACTGCTCTCAATCCACTCATCCCCTGGCCTGTATTTGGGATTGGGATTGCCCTGACCCATGTGCAGGACCTTGCCCTTGTCCTTGTTGAACTTCATGAGGTTCACACAGGCCCACCTCTCCAGCCTGTCCAGGTCCCTCTGGATGGCCTATCCCTTCCCTCCAGCGTGTCGACCGCAACACACAGCTTGGTGTCACTGGCAAACTGCTGAGGGTGCACTCGGTCCTACTGTCCATGTCTCTGACAAAGATGTTAAACAGCACCAGTCCCAACACCAACCCCTGAAGAATGCCTCTGCTCACAGCTCTCCACTCAGACATTGAGCCACTTGCTGCAACACTTTGAGGGTAACCATCCAGCTAATTCCTTATCCATTGAGGATGTGAAAAGTGACATTACTAATAAACTAACATAAAAATAATTTTCTTTATTAGTAGTGATTTTATATTACAATTTAGACTAAGTTCTATTTGCATATTAGTCTTTAAAGGAAGCAAAAGAAACACATAGTAAAACCAACCAAACCAACCAACCAAACCCCTAAAATTACTAATGACAATGAATATTCACTTTCAAAAATCCTTGTATTTTATCACTGACTTCCTGAACACTGTAATCCCAAACCAGAATATTTTATTTCTGCTTGTCATCAAAATACCTACTTGTTTTCATTTTAGAGTAAAACCTCACAGAGGAAAGAAAGGTTAAAAACTGTAAAACTTATTTTACAATTAGTGTTCAGATGCTTATTGGGTTCTGGAAGTAATTTACTAGCGTATAAAAGAGATATAAAAATATATAATAATCTTTACTAATGAGGTATGCATTTGTTCAGATCAGGTTTCCTGGAATACAGCCTTCTATTTGGATCTCAGCTGGCCAGTCACCATATCTGTTGTTCTTCTTGTCAGAGTGGTTTATCTGTTAAAATAAAAATTCCAATGTTTAGTTCTGCATTTACAAACTAGTTTGTCAAACCTCATAAACCAGAAGAGGATAATGGAGTAGGACTAGGAAGCTAAGTAGCACGTTGCATATCTTGCTTGACATAATGGGTGAAGATTACACCAGTTTCTCTCTTACATAGAGAGCTTTATTTATTTCCCAGATGGCTGTCGTAATACACGCTAAATTGAATACATTTTTCCTGCAGAAGCTCTGTAGTGTGAAGAAGATTGCAACAATATTCTGGGGAAAAAAAATATGGAAGTTTCATATGCCTTTGGAGGGAGTCAGTATTATCACAGGAACTGATCTCTGTATTGGATTTTCTCATTTCTGTCTGCCTCTGTCATACATATGAGCACTACTGGGCTTATAGAAGGCAAATACAACAAGGTCAGAGATGCAAACAGAAATCTGATCTAAAGAATGGTATCTTACTCCTCCTGAAGCCTGAGGGCAAGTTATTCAGAAAAGTTTTGTGATGCAAGCATTGCTGTATTTGCACAGTCAATTTGAGACAGCCCAATTTTCATACAAAAATCAGCCTTTATTTTTAGGAAGTGCTTGGAATTTGTCCTTCAAGAAGAAAATTTAAGTGTCTGTACAGTATGTCAGGTTGGACATTTCAAAACTGAGACTCTCTAGAATTGCTGTCACTTCTGAAATTTGTCTACAGATGACTTAGTGCTGGTGTAGTAGAAGTCAGTACTATACATGGCGCAGATCCAAAGCAAAGAATGATGACACTTCAGAGAACTTGCATTGTGCAACTGAAGCTTACTAAACAAGCCACAGTTATTATAGCTAATGCAAAAAATCCACACCTGAAGGTTGTATCTGATATACAGACAAATATAATGTGAAAATAAATGAACTTGACCTTTTCTTTTTGGATATTATCTGGCAGCTTGAAGCCTTTGGCAGCTATAAAGGCCCAGCTTGACCTGAACTTCATATTCCATATTTCTTTACTTCCCAGCTCTTCTATTAATTTTTTGGCATCATTTTTTAACCTAGGAAAGTGTAGTGGGAAAAAAAAAAAAGTGTTAAAAATTCAGGATGTGAAAAATGTTGAAAACACAGCTGATTCATGCTTTACATTAGTAAGTCAGCAGAAGCAAAAATGACAAGTTTAAAAAAATCCCAAGTCTTGTCATAGTAGCATGCCATTAAACTCACAGAGAAAAATCCTTTTTCATCCTCCTCTTTATGTTCCTGATGATAATACAACCTGTTTGTAACAGCACAGCAGAAAGAAAAATGTATCTCAAATACTCTTTGATGTTTCAGCTCTTCTTATATAAAGACAAGGGCATCAAATGTTTATCAACTGAATGATTAAGTCTTTCCCTGTATAATTCAACTAAAAAACCCTTAAGATTTAAAAGCACTTGAAGAATCAGGTTAAGATGTAAGGAGGAGTGCAAACTAGATATGTTATAATTGGAGGTGTGGATACCTTCTGAATAGAAGCTTGTGAACCAGAGGTAACAGTGGTGCCCTTTATGAGGACAACTGGTGCTTTTAAACAAATATAATGCTATCTATCCATCTTTAGAAGCATCAACATAGATGATATAGGCAGCACTGAATGAACATGGAATCAAAACTTTTTAGGCAAGAAATGAGAGAACAACCCTGACTATAGAGTGAAATTTACCACTCCTCTACAGCATTATGCAATAGTAATTTTCAAGCTATTCTTTGTTCTGTTTCTCAGCCTGTCATGAAAAATTTGCTTACCGGGTGCTTCCATCATCATGAGTCACCATCAAAAGGAGGGACCCTTTTGGAGCATTTTTAATGAATGTCATCATCTCTCCTGAGTGGTCTGTTGAATCAGTTACACAACCAATTATTCATTACATGCATATCACATTCCACTTACTTTCAACTTGGTTTCACTTTTTGGACTCATCTATTCAAAATGAGTCCTAATTAGGCAATTTTTCTGTTTACAGGCAGAGGGCCTAATGGTGCAGAAAACTGCTAGTTCGGCTAGGAAAGCATGGACTGGTCTGCATTTCCCAGTAATAAACGAAGATACTTCTGAACTTCTACAAAAGTAATTTACACCCAGGGTAACTATAGAGATGGTTTCTTATGTTTACCTCACATACTATTATACATGCAAGCAAAGCATGGAATAGCTCAGGAGAAGTCATCGCTATTCTATAAGCTTCCTACTCCCCTGCTAACTGCAGAGCTGAGTTACACACCCCGTTGTCCACCCACTTCCGTTAAATGGCAGCCTATTTGCAGCACTAAGCTATTGGTTTTGCAATTGCTAAACATACACAAGACACTTGTTTTTCATACAAAAAAATGTAACAGGCACCCTGGAGACGTTACAGTCTACATACCGTATATAAAATTATAGCCCCATGATTAGTCCCAATGTGATTTCTATTCATGCATGTAAGGTCACAATCATTCTTAAGTGTTCAGAGAATCAGCTTCCAGTGCCTCATAACATTCTGTTTACGCCTTACTAATAGGTAAGGACACTGTTATCGTTCAAAGGTTGGAAAACGTATTAAAAGCTATTCTTAAAGTATATCATCTTTCTAGCTACATGGAAGGATGTTAAGAGACAGACTAATATATTTCCTATGATGATTTTACAACTAAAATAGAACAAAATACGTCAGGAAAAGGAATTTTGCTGAGTGAAGTATCTGGATGTGGTACCTGGTTAAGTGCTATTTCTACCAGACTGAAATAATGGAGGAAAAAAAAAGACAATTAAAAAATGGCAATTCAACAATCTAAAAAAAAGCAAGACCATAATAAAAAAAGACAATTAACTATCTCAACCAATATGAGAAATTCAGCTTTTCTGGCAAAAATTGTCATCAGATCTGGCCAGAGCATATTTTATGAAGACAACAGCTGTTTGTTTCTAGCTGGTCCCTGTCAACAATACAATCACAGTCATTTGAAAGAGCAGGATAATTATATAACTCCTTTCTTAATGCTGAAACACAAATAAAAGCTCTATTGAACTCTTTTCCCTACCTCCTTCCCACATGTCAAAAAATTTTGTTGATGTAGCTCTTCCTGTTTTATCTGTAATTAAAAAAAAAAAAAAGTTGTGTAAATGAGCAAAAATTGTTAAATCAGCATATATAGCATTTACTGCTAAAGCTGGGCATCTCTAATTTTGTGCATTATTTGGCTTCTGAGTTTTATTTTGTTTAAATTTTTAAAATGGAAGGAATATGGAAAATGTAAGTTTAAGGTTTGGGAGAATATTTTGTTTTATGCCGTCTCTGAATCATCAAACATGACTGAAACATTTTTATTACTTTATATTCTAAAGAAGGAATTCAGTTTGCTGTGTGCTTCCATGTTTTTATGTCTATATATACTATACTAGGCCACAACCATAAATAGGAAAATTGCTTAAGCCTATAACTATATGAATGAGCTTTATAGTATTCTATTAAGTAGTGTTTCAGATGTGCAAGCTTTCACACCATCTGAATCTCAGTGGACAGAAACTCAACACTCATCATTACCATATCAGAAACCAGGCATGCAAACAATTAGTCATTCCAAAACATTTTGGTGAATATTCATCATTAATTATGCTGCTGTTTAGATGACTCTCTGTTTAAACCAGACATGTACAATGGGAAATACTTTTCAAATTTCTAAATCCATGCCAACTGAGTTAATTGATTTTCATTATCCAGGACCCATATCCCTGCTACATGAGAAGGTCTTTTCCATTTAGAATGCGTCAACTCATTTCTAGTAAGAAGACCTAGCAGTTCCTGCTTCATTTCTAGCTTATCTTTGATCCATATATGGTAAAATCATGAAGGCAAATTCTTCTGAACATAGGGTTCTAAATGGCAGGTTTATCATGCTGATGAGAGGAAAAGGTGGCAAAAAATCTGTCAGTGGTGAAACAGCATGCTAGAAGTGGGCTTTTTCTGAGCAGAGATCACAAAAAAAATGGAAAAGGCTGTAGTGAGGACCACGGGAATCCACAGAATTCTTTCTCTCTCCCTCTGTGTTGTTAGCTTGGGCTTAATAGTTCTGTCTTCCTTCTTACAAAAGACCATTTTAATTCAGAGAAGAAAGAGTTGTCATTATGAAATAAAATGCAAGTGTGATGCCATAGGAAGCTTACTGAGCACAGTCATTAGCTTGACTAATTTAATTAGAAGACGTGTAGAAAATATGTCTCACTACAAACTGGTCCGAGATAATGGACAGATTAACCTGCAGAAGGAGATTAAAGTGTAGCTAAAATGACTATATGTTTGATGAAGGAAATGTCTGTTTAAATATGTGTAAAATTTGATATATCACTTCTTCTTCCTCACTAATGTCAGATGGAAAGACAAGGCTAGTTTCCTACTCCTATTTGCTATAACCTTGCTTATGCATTCAGGATGAGTATTTGCCCTCTTACTCTACAGCTCTATGCTGAAAACTCATTTTTAACTGCTTACTTATTATAACTAGTAAAGTTTTTATGATTTCTTATTGGGAAAAAAATGCAGTAGTTAACTGGGAAAATAATTTTGGAACAGATTCTTGTCTACAGTAATTTAACCCAGTGACTTCAAGACAATTATGCAAGTTTAGACAGGGTCAAGATCTTGCTTAGCAATACTGAGACAAAAAAAACGGAACATAAGTGTTTTGTGATTAAAGCCAACTTGACTGTGCATCTGAACTCCCTTTCTTCCCCTCCCCAACAACATTTAGGCATTCATTTCCCTCAGAAGCCATTATTGAATCCACTGCACTTCAACACCATTCCCATTCATCTAAATTAAAATGGTGCCTCTGGTTCTGGAATAAACTGCACCTTCTGCTTCCCAACAGCTCCCACTAAAAGCAAAGACATATAATGGAAGTTTAATATTAATCAAGCTTTGAGTTTGTCTTTCTGTCCACTGACCAAAGTCTAGAAAAGGAATTTGTACCTTGGTTGTACCTTGGGGCAGAACTGCAATTCTCAGCTACTGCTTGCACCTTTATCAGTGAAGCAACAGGTATCTTTTATCAAGGATTGAACCAAAAGTTGAGTCTTACTGCTGGAGATCATAGATATTTTTTCTACATTACATTAGAAGCAGTTCTTTTACCTAATAAAATACATGTATACTGCTTCTACGTACATGTTTTCTCTTTTCTTATACTGATTATGAACATATTTCTTTTGTTTATCCAGAAGACCATTTCTCTCAAACACAGATGTTTTCCTTACATTTAACAAAAATCAAGTTTGCAATTTTTCCCTTTCTTTCCTTCTATACTAGCTAGTAAAAAAACCCCAAAACAAACAAAAAAAATCCCCAACCCTCCCAAGAACATTTGCAAATTATTGCAGTACAAAAGTATGTCTCTGTAGCATTTCTTCTCTTACTTACAGTTCACAATGGCAATGTTTATACCACTTCCAGCATTACCCTTCTCTTTGCTTATAAGCCTGGAATCAAAATACATACAGTATCAACAGAATGTATCAGTCCAGAAGCTCTGATCCAAAGTTGTATTTACCAATGATAAATCACTTTCTGATGTTCCTGTTTTCTTCAGTTATTTAATTCAAGATTTTGTAGTAAACAGGAGCTATGGCTTAAAGATCTTGCACATTGTATGAGTCGGTTTCTGTCAACGATGCACAATGAGTCTTTGAAAATGAGCCAGATCAAAAAAGTACTTCATTCAAATGCAGCCAGAAAGATAAAGAAGAAAAAAAACCAAGACAAAATGGGGTTTTGTGGCAGTATTCTGTGTGGAATATATCTACACAAAAGATCATTGCAAAGTCATTCTACCTGTCCACTTTGAAAAGCCATGAAAGAATCTGACTTTCAGAAGGTGTTGACCATTCAACATACTGTAAAATGGCTACCCTGCACCATGAAAATTAAAGATCATACTTGAAACTAACAGTTGAATGCAGCTTATGTAGAGGAACAAAGAAAATAACCAGAGATTAGGTACTTAAAAAAAAAAGGGAAAAAAAGATTTAAATACTGTCAGATATATTCTGACATTTATCACCAGAATAGGAGCTCCCTGCTAAGAGCTTACTTGGTGCTACTGAACCAAAATGAAACACCCATCTTCACACTGCAAAGCACTTGCTTAGATTTGAAGTTAGACTGGTACTCACAGCTCATCCTCAAAACAAATTTTAGCCAGCTTTTCTTTGCCACCACCACTAAGAATCCGATAGGCATAGTTCCCAGGTGAGCAGGGAGACCAGTGATCACACTTCTGCCTTTTTGGGATCGGGGCTACAACAACAAAGGTGAGAAAATGTTTTCTTGGATACTGCATAAACAATTTCTACATGGAAAGAATCACTTAATGTCAACATGCTAAGTTCAAACATACATACAGAAAAGCTGATCCTGTCAGTTTTCCATTATCATGGCAACATTACCACAGACTTGCCTGAGCTTTAAGTTGATTTTCAAAGAGCTGCTGGGAACAAGAGCAACCTTATCTAGTGGAAAATGCCCCATAAATTATTATCTGATCTGAATCTAAGGTAATTATTTTGTGCAATTTTGTATAACAGGAAATGAGGGCTAAAGGGATGAAGGATTCCTACCAGTAGGTTGAAGATAATGGCTATCATTCATTCTCATTTTAAGCCTGATAACACAGTCACAGAATGAGAAAAATGTACACATTAAGCCACCCCGTCAGATTAGAAGAAATAAATAATGAGAATTTAATCACAAAGTCTGGTTAGTGATTCAACAGTTTACCATAACTGCAAAATACATATGACAGAACCAAAGCTGAAGATTTGTCCTTATATGCTAGTAAACAAATAAGGTTTTCTTAAATTACTATTCCATTAACTATATTTGCATACTGGCAAATACAGGCTGATGTGTTTCTTCAAATACAGTGTCCAAGAAATAGTTCAGACTTGCACTAATTAACTTTAGACAGCAAACTTCATTCTTACAATAGCACATACCAAATCATTTATCAGCTAACAAGCCATTTGTCATTTACCATGTAAATAGACAAGATTAGTTATAGTATAAGAAAAAAACCCCAAACAACTACACACCTCTCAACACTGGTTTCTTTCCAATGTCTTGAAGATTAGCAATAGATGTTGTTATTGTCTCTTTGGGTACAAGAACAGCGAAGAAGTATCCCAAGTACCAAGCAGTCAACAATGCTAACAGGAGCCCTGCTAATTTCACAAGATCTGCCAAGGGAAAAAAAAAAAAAAAAAAAGAAAAGAAGAAAGAAAACCACAGAGACATAAAGATGTTTTCACAGGAACACACAAAATTTTCTGTTTTCTCTGGCATTGCTACATAAACTGGCTATTTTATTTCTGATATACTGTGTTAACTGTATTAACTGTGTTATCTGTCTTCAGAGATGTGGCAATACAGTATTTGTTGCATTCTCATCTCTGACAACCCCTTGTGTTTCTAAAACTTGGTCTTCAAGCAGACAACTACCCCTAAGACTCCCCTCAATCCACACCCATAATACCCCAAAGAAACATGAAGTTCAACTTAATCCTAGTAACATTTTTACTCTGAAAAGTAAGTACCAGAAACTAAGTATGACTAAACAGGTAACATGCAGTTACTATTGATTTTCTGTGACAGGCAAACACTACAGGAATGGTTTAAAATGCTGACTGTACAGGGAAGCCCCTTAATCCACCCTTTTGACATGGCGGGTAAAAATAACTGAAGAAGGCTCAAATAATCTCATTCACACAATGAGCTCTGAGTGACTGTTTTTCATCTTCTCTCAGATATAACACAGTTTCCATGGACTGAATTAGTAGCACATCTACACAGTACAACAACAGGATTCACAATCTTCCTGTATATGAAGAAATAGAAATAAATTCCATATTGGGTATCCTCTTCCACATCACCAGAAATGCTAACATGTATTCTAGAAGAAAAGCGTGACCTAATTTACAATGCTAAACAAGGAGAGACAGCACTGCAATTGTGAAACATTCATGTTTTGATGTCATGAGATACTTCCTGATCCATAAAGAAACATGTCCTTGAACAGAATGGTTTGTTAAAGTGAAAAAGGAAAATTTTTAGTTTCATAGTCTTGAAAATCAAGTTCAACAGAACCAACATCTAAAAATATCCAGTATGTTCACTTTGCCAACCTGCTAGAAAATATTGTGTATTATCTAACCTAAATCTTCCTTCTAGCAGTTTACACTCAAGATATTCCTTTCCTTCTTGGAATTGCCTTTTAAAAATATTAAGCTTTCTGCCCTACTGCTTCTCTAGAAGGTGGCCAAATTGTTCACTTGTTCTCAAGTCCTGTTTTGCAGGTCCTACTGCTCTCCCATGAATTCTGCCCAACTGGTCTGCATCTTTTACTACAGAACTGACACACTAGTCCAACACACACATTCTGGAGGCTCTACTTCTGGTATTCATGCCAGAAGGAAGTTTGACTTTTTCTCATAAGAGTAGACTTTAGTGACCCAGGTTCTGTTTATAATCCACTGCAAAGACCAGATCTTTTTTTCTTGCATAGATTTTGTCTCTCTAGTTACTTCCTATTCTGTATTTGTGCATGTGGTTATTCCTGCATTCTACTAGCTTTAAAAATAAAAAGCCTAACAAAACACTGCATAATATGCAGAGGTAAAGCTAACACTGAATAGTACTGTTGCCTAAATTCCACATTCTTTACAATAGCAACAGAAGTAGTAAGTAGCTCTCTCTGACTCAGTCATCCTTCACAAATGAGTCACGGCTGTACTCCAGCCCTTGAACTTCAGTGAGGAAGAATGATGATCATTATGAACATTCAAAGTTCTCTAAATAATCTCAGTTTCTCATTTCCTGCATCAGAAAAAGGAAAAAAGAAAAAAAAATAGGAAAAAGGAGGAAAAGATGAAAAAGGAGAACAATAGAAAAAAGAGAAAAAGAAAAAGAAAAAAGCAAAAGGCAAAAAGAAAAAGGCAAAGAGAAGGGGGGCAAAAAGAGAAGGGGGGCAAAAAGAGAAGGGGGGCAAAAAGAGAAGGGGGGCAAAAAGAGAAGGGGGGCAAAAAGCTGT